GACATCCCTTTCCACTCTAACAATCCATAAGGAAGGGAGAGAGGAAGGGTGGGGGGGTGTCAAAAAGGGGGAAAACAGGCTAAGCACAGTGGCTCATGCCTATAATCCCAATACTTTGGGAGGCTGAGGCGGGCGGACCACTTGAAGTCAAGAGCTGGAGACCAGCCTGGCCAACATGATGAAACCCTGTCTCTACTAAAAATACAAAAATTAGCCAGGTGTGCTGGTAGGTACCTGTAATCCCAGCTACTCAGGAGGCTGAGGCAGGAGAATCACCTGAACCCAGTAGGCAGAGATTGCAGTGAGCCAAGATCACACCACTGCACTCCAGCCTGGGAGACAGAGCAAGACACGGTCTCAGAAACAAAAATTTTAAAAGGGGGTGGTTGGTGGGAGAGAAGAAACAGAGGAAAGGGGAGAAGGCTAAAGGATGGATTTGAAAACCAAAGCCGCGCCTGTAATCCCAGCACTTTGGGAGGCTGAGGTAGGCTGATCACCTGAGGTCAGAAGTTCAAGACCAGCCTGACCAATATGGGGAAACCTCATCTTAAAATAAAAATAAGTTAAAAAAAAGAAAACCAAAGCCGCACTGGGAGGAGGGAAATAATTGGCTCTTCGTAGACTTTTTTGGAGCCAACGGGAGGCATGAAAGCAGGGATCAGACTAACTCCAAGGCCAACCCCAGCCCCAAGAGGAATTTCTGATAGCTTCTAAGAGATTTCTCTTGGTGGCTAAGTTGGATATTCAGGGGTCTACTGAGTTGGTGTATGGCAAAGAGTATCTCAGAGGTGCACATGGACCCTGTGACCAGCTCACTCCATGGACGGTGACACATGCCTGCAGCTTCCTTCTGGTCATTCCAGTGACAGTCAGTGCGACAGCAAAAATGAACTGGAGAATTCCAGGTGGTGACGACCACTGACATTCACTGGGCACTGTGTACCAAGCAGCAACATTTTAAATCCTTGCTGAAGATTCACCCACTTCTTCCTCAAGTCACCACTATTCATACGTACTATGTTATCCCACATAGGGAAACTGAGGCACAGAGAGAAGTAGTAACTTGCCTCAGCAGGAGAGCCGGATTTGCTGAGCCACCACATTATAATGCTTCATACCAAGTTGTTTTCTCTGCTTTTCCATAATTTTCAATTTTTCTATACAGGCCCTGAAACACATTAGTTGTTTTTTTTTTCTTTGAGAGGGTCACTCTGTCACCCAGGCTGGAGTACAGTGGTGCGATCTCGGCTCACTGCAATCTCTGCCTCCTGGGTTCAAGCAATTCTCCTGCCTCAGCCTCCCAAGTAGCTGGTATTAACAGGCATGCATCACCACACCCAGCTAATTTTCTATTTTTAGTAGAGATGGGGCTTCACCATGTTGGTCGGGCTGGTCTTGAACTCCTGACCTCAGGTGATCCACCCACCTTGGTCTCCCACAGTGCTGGGATTATAGGCGTGAGCCACCACACCCAGTCCTTTCTTTTATTTTTGAGACAGGGTCTCAGTCTGCGGTCCAGACTGGAGTGCAGGGACTGTGATCTCAGCTCACTGCAGCCTCCATCCCCACAGAGTTCAAGTGATTCTCATGCCTCGGCCTTCCCCATAGCTGGGACCACAGGTATCGCACCACCATGCCTGGCTATTTTTTGTTTTGTATTTTTAGTAGAGATGGGGGTCAGCAAGCCATGTCACCCAGGCTGGTCTCGAATTCCTGACCTTAAATCGATCCACCTGCCTCAGCCTCCCAAAGTGCTGGGATTACAGGTGTGAGCCACCGCACCTGGCCTGCTTTTTTTTCTTTTTTTTAAATGAACCCAAAAAAAGGCCCAGGCCCATTTTTCCAACCATCATTCAAATATCAACCACAAACCAGCCCCCATTACCAGTCCACACCCCTCTCCAGAGTTCAAGTGACTCTCGTGCCTCAGCCTCCGTGGTAACTGGGACCCTGTCATCAGGCCCTCGTTTCCAGTTTGATAGCGAAGTTCTCCTTTTCTCTTCCCAGAGCATCTGCCTGAGTGAAGGTCAACAGAACCCATCTTATGGGCCATTTCCATGTTCTGGTTTTTCTGGACATTTCCTGGGGCTCAGAGGCAAACAGGGGCCTAGGAACCAAGCTCTGACAGAGTCCCACAAGGCCCACTCACCTTGTGACCTTGGTCACAATGGGAGCCGAGCAAGAATGCCTCACTGCCTTTCCACAGCCCAACTCCATCCGCACCAGCTAAAGAACAGGTGAATCCAAAGGAACAACAAGGAGCTTGAAACACACAACTTTATCTTTGGAAAAAATAGCATTTAATAATAGCCATTGTTTATCGCTGTGCAGGGCACAAGCTGAGCCGCTTACAAAGATTAGCCCATTCACTCCACTACAACCACAGAAGGCTGCGATATTTTTGGCTCCTATCCCATTTTATAGATTAACAAAATGAGGCACACAGAGGGAAAGTGGCTTGCTCAAGGTCACACAGCTATCTGACTGCCTGAAGGCCAGTTGCTCCTGGTCTGCAACATACTGCCTTGAAAAACACAAAAACAGGCCGGGCGCGGTGGCTCAAGCCTGTAATCCCAGCACTTTGGGAGGCCGAGGCGGGTGGATCACGAGGTCAAGAGATCGAGGCCATCCTGGTCAACATGATGAAACCCCGTCTCTACTAAAAATACAAAAAATTAGCTGGGCATGGTGGCGCGTGCCTGTAGTCCCAGCTGCTTGGGAGGCTGAGGCAGGAGAATTGCCTGAACCGGGGAGGCGGAGTTTGCGGTGAGCCGAGATCGCGCCATTGCACTCCAGCCTGGGTAACAAGAGTGAAACTCCGTCTCAAAAAAAAAAAAAAAAAAAAAAAAGAAAAGAAAAACACAAAAACAGCCAGCGCAGCGGCTCATGCCTATAACCCCAACACTTTGGGAGGCTGAGGCAGGAGGACCACTTGAGCCCAGGAGTTCGAGACCAACCTGGGCAACACAGTGTGTCCCTGTCTCTACAAAAAATACAAAAATTAGTTGGGTGTGGTGGAACACGCCTGTAGTCCCAGCTGCTCGGGAGGCTGAGTTAGGAGGATCACTTGAGCCCAGGAGGCAGAGATTATAGTGAACTGAGATCACACCACTGCACTCTAGCCTGGGCCACACAGAGAGACTCTGCCTCAAAAAGAAAAAGAAAAACACAAAAACTACCTACTTTCTAGCTTTCCATTTTAATTACATTGCGATTTTCCCACTCAGGCCCCAGCTGCCTCCTCTCAAATTCTGGTTCCAGGGCACGTCCAGCAAGTCTTGGAATCCAGGCAGCAGAAATATTCAAGGTCAAAGAAGTGGACAGGGTACCTACTGAGGCAGAGATCAGCTACGATCATCCCCACGCAAAACCCAACCACCTGGCAATATCTGTGACAAAAAGTCCTTGACGGGGAAACAAATCAACAAACACAACTGGACTTTCTGGATGAGTCTGTTAAGATACAGAAACAAAGGGCACCCCAAGCATACTCATTAGCCATCAACTACCAGTGGCCATCAATAAAATACGTCCTGATACAAAACCTCACGTAGGGTCACCAGTTTCACCGCCTCCTCAATTCAGAAGAAGAAAATAAACTAGAGAATGTTCCGGAATTCCCAGCAACACGAACCTAGATCACCATGTGAATCTTTGCAAAAGATAATCTTGCTGTTATGACACCTGGTAACAAAGGATCCACAGGTTTTTCTTCCTCTGCTAAACAAAGTCCATCTGCAAAGAGGCTTCAATCACTCCCAGACCCTGAAGGCAAAGTTTATGTTCTGTTTCTAGCTCTGATGTCAATCTCCAACTCCACTAGCTTAAAATGGGAGTGTGGTAGATTATTAAACACAATCACACCCTGCTAAAAAACAAACAAAACTCTCCAATGGGGCCCTGGGGGATGACTTTTCAACACTCCAAATGCAGCCTTCAAGGGAAGGCCAGCAAATCAGGACCAGAACGTATTTTTGGATGCTAATCACCAACTCCTAAGACCCAAGACTGTTTCTCCCGATTCCTAAGCAAAAGAGGAGAAACAGTCCTGTCCAGATTTGCCTACTGCGTTCACCAGTAATCAAGACAGCACCGCACAGAAGTGCCTTCTTGGAACACACAGGCAAATCGCATTACGGAGAAGCTGAAGCACTAAAGACTGGACGTAAACCACTGAAAGTGGACTCCAGACATCCAGCCAGGCTCCGCCGTCCACGTTCCAGAAGAAAAGTTGCCAGGTTTAAATCTAAGGGGCATCCCCAGAAAGGAGCTCCACGTGTTTCAGGTTAGGAAGGGCATGACCACAGGTACCAGGGTCCTGGGCGTCCTCAGCTGCACCCCAAATCTGACCCGAGCCGAGGGTCAGGTGGAACATGTCAAAGGTGAACACCCCCCTTCTTCCTTGGTTCCCCCAAACTTTCCCCGGAGTATTTAAGCAGCAACAAAAAAGACAAAGCTAGGTAACCACAGAAGTGTAACGTGGCTGTAAGACAACTTTGGGGAGACAATGAAAGTCCCTTTCTACAATCTAAGCCCTTCCCCAGCTCACCCCATTGGTCATGGGGTATTTTTCGTGAAAGGGGAACCCTAACTACAAAGGAGATAGGAGAACAGAAGCAGAGCCACCCCCTTTCCCACCCCACATCTCTAGCGTCCCTTTCCCTGGAAGGTTTTTAATTAGAGGCCGGCACCCCAAAACAGGAAGGCCTCCTCCCCGAGGCTCTGGCCCCTGACCCTCCCCTCCAAAACCCCAAAGCTGGGCACGCGGCCCCCCACGCCCTGCTCCCCAGAACTGAGTCACCCAAGTTTTCACCCATACCCCGCTCCCCAGAGAGGGGCCGGGCCGCGGGGGAAGCGAGGGTCCCGGGCCCCCCCAAGCCGGACGCAGAGCGGGAAGTGGGGTGCTCCCGGCGGCTGCGGGCCCGGCGCTTCCCCTCCCCGCCGGCCTCCCTCGCTCCCTCCCTCCTTCCCGCCTGCCCCAAACTGCCCCCGGCACGCACCCAGAGCGGGTCGGAGCCATCGGCTCTGCAGAAGCCCCGGAGCGCCATGCGGACGGCGCGGGCGGCGGCGGGCACCGGGCGGCGGGCGATGAGGCCCGGCTGCTGGCGCTGGAGGTGGCAGCGGCGGGAGGGCGGGCGGCGGCTGCGGCGGCGCAGGGAGCCGGGGCCGGGGCCGGGGCCGCAACGCCGCCTGGTTGGCCGGCGCGTCACGGGGATGCGGCCGCCCCGCCCCGCCCCGCCCCGGCGCCCGGCTCACCTCGCCCGGCTCCGCGTGGGCAGGGGTACCCGCCACCCCTCGGCGCCCCGGGCCTGGACGCCGCCCGCCCTCAGATCCTCGGAGGCCTAGGCCCACCCGCTCTCCGACGGGCCCGGGGAGCGCTGGCTGGCCCTCCGGAAGCGCCTGCGGTCTTTAAGGCCACACATCCTGCGACCACTTTTCAAATCCTGTTGAACGACAGTGTCCGTAACCCAGGGAAAATAACGTGAACGGAGCCCTCTACCCGCCTGGAGTGTGCTGCGCGTTTTAGTTACGGCCTCATTTCGTCCTGTTCTGTCTCCTCTTTCAAGAAGGAAGAACACCAGGTGCAGAGAGGTTGAGTGATTCCCTCTGGCCAGGATCAGGGTCTTCTGGCTAATCACTGGCACGGCTGGGATTTGAACCCGGTTCGCTGACTCCAAAGCTGACTCAGACAGGAGGAGGTGGATACTCTTATTCACCTATATTTTACAGAAGGGGAAACTGAAGTTCAGAGAGGCGAAGTAACTTGCCTGAGGTCACACAGTTAGCAAGGAGTGAAAGGGGAAGTGAGATTCAAACCCATGAGCAGTCTGATTTCAGGGCACTCACGGCTCAGAGGGCGCCAGTCTCCATCCCTAACAGCTATGGTCCTCACCTGTGTGCAGAGTGCCTTTGCTGCTTCTCACCCTCTTTAAGCATCACTTAGGAAATAATAGCAGGGTTATTGATCCTGACCTCAGTGGTAAGGAAACTGAAGCCTTAAGACATAATAATAACAGGCCAGCTGACAGTGCACGGTGGCTCACGCCTGTAATCCCAGAACTTTGGGAGGCCAAGGCAGGTGGATCACGAGATCAGGAGATTGAGACCACCCTGGCTAGCACAGTGAAACCCAGTCCCTACTAAACATACAAAAAATCAGTCGGGTGTGGTGGCACATGCCTGTACTCCCAGCTACTCCGGAGGCAGAGGCAGGAGAACACTTAAATGTGCGAGGCAGAGGTTCCAGTGAGCTGAGATTGCGCCACTGCACTCCAACCTGGGTGACAGAGCGAGACTCAGTCTCAAAAAAATAAATAAAAATAAAAATAAATATAGTCCAAGCATGGTGGTTCATGCTTGTAATCCTATCACTTTGGGAGGCCGAGGTGGGCCAATCACTTGAGGTCAAGAGTTCAAAAGCAGCCTGGCCAACACCAAAAACCCCATCTCTGCAAAAAATACAAAAATTAGCCCGGCGTGGTGGCAGGCACCTGTAGTCCCAACTACTTGAGAAGCTGAAAAAGGAGAATTGCTTGAACCTAGGATGCAGAGGTTGCAGTGAGCCAAAATCATGCCATTGCACTCTAGCCTGGGCAACACAGCAAGACTCCGTCTCAAAAAATAGTAATAATGGGCATTTACAGTGACAAGTCTTCCTAAGGCTGTGTTCTTAGCATTTTACTTAAATTAACTTGTGCAATTCTCACAACCCCTTGAGGTAAGAGGTAGTATTACCCGAGCTTTGCAAATGAGGAGACTGAGGCCCAGAAAGACAGCATTAATTGTCACGGATTCTTTGGACGGCTAATCACTTAAGCCAAACTTAAGGAAGTCTGGCTAGGGAAGTGGGAAATCTATAATGCCATCCATTGCACCATATTGCTTTTGATCTGTTTCATAGGCAGACAGGCAGAGACAGAGGAGCTAGGGCAAGGCCTGGGAATATAAACTTTCACTGTGATACCAGCGATGCCTTTTTTTTCCCCTCTCCTCCTTTATCTCCTGCCTGATGTGTGGTTTCCATAACACATGTGCATACACACAACAGCTGCACCAAATGAAACAGAAACAGTGTGTGCATTTGAGACCCCCCCCCCACAAAGGACCTAGCGAAGGAAGAAAGAAGAAGGTAGATACGATTGTTTTGTGTGTTTTTTTTATTGGCCCAGGTCCCCCTAAGGGCGAGTGAGTTTCTAAGGGATAATTACTTTCATGTAATAATGCCAATCGTGCTGTTGCTTGACCTTTATACTATCAACAAATATTTATTGAGCATTTACTATATGCCAGATGTCTTGCTTAGGAACAAGATAAAATTACTACTCTTGTGGAGCCGAAAGGATTTTAAGTGTTTTTTGTGGTAAGATGGCAGATGTTAATCAAATATTATATTTTTGAAAGGGTATTTACAGGCCAGAAGTGGTGACTCACACGTGTAATCTCAGTACTTTGGGAGGCAGAGGTGGGAGATTCACTTGGCCCATGAGTTCAATGCTGCAGTGAGCTATGATCCTACCGCCGCACTACAGCCTGGGTAACACAGTGAGACCTTGTCTCAGAAAAAAAAAAAAAAAAAAGCCAGGGGAGATATTTACTACCACGGTCACAACTAGAAAGGAAAAGTGGTCTGGGCATGGTAGCTCACGCCTGTAATCCTAGCACTTTGGGAGGCCAAGGCAGGTGGATCACTTAAGGTCAGGAGTTCGAGACCAGCCTGACCAACAAGGTAAAACCCCATCTCTACTAAAATCTAAAAATTAGCTGGGCGTGGTGACGGGCACCTGTAATCCCAGCTACTCCAGAGTCTGCGGCAGAAGAATCACTTGAACCTGGAAGGCGGAGGTTGCAGTGAGCCGAGATCACGCCACTGCACTCCAGCCTGGGTGACAAACCAAGACTCTGTCTCAAATAAATAAATAATAAAAATGAAAATACAAAAATTAACCAAGCGTGGTGGTGGGTGCCTATAATTCCAGCTATTCAGGAGACTGAGGCAGGAGAATCACTTGAACCCAGGAGGTGGAGGTTGCAGTGAGCTGAGGTGGCCCCACTGCACTCCGGCCTGGGTGACAAAGTGTGACTCCATATCAAAAAAAAAAAAAAAAAAATGGGCAAAAGGGAACCTAAAGAGGTTCTGACCTGCTGGGGGTGGAAGTCAGAGAAGGCTTCCCGGAGGAAAAGGCTTTCAAGCTGAGATACAAGGAATGAGTCTGGGTTCCTGGGGTCTGGCTTGTGTTCTTGGTGGAAGAAAACACTTTATGGAAAAGTTATGAAGCGGGGAGGGCCCTTGGAGGAAACTGAAGACAGCCTGGGTGGCAGGAACCCAGGGAAGGAAGTAAAAGAAATCCATCCAGAGCAGGCTGGATCCTGTCAGCCAAGGGAAGGGCACTGGGAGCCACTGGTGAGTTTTAGGCAAGGCACAAGACACAGTTGGATTTCTTTCCATGTTTTATTCATTCATTCTTTATTTATCCTTTAAACAAACATTTATTAAGCAAGCATATGAAAATGTGCCCAACATCATTAGTCATCAGTGAAACACAAATAAAGCCCCAGTGAAATACCATTATCATACACCCACCAGAGTGACAGGAAAGACTGAAAATTCCACGTGCAGACAAAGACATCGATTAACTGGGACAGGCACGCTCTGCTAGGAGATGTATAAATCTGCTCAACTACTTTGGAAAACTAACAATCTGGCCAGGTGCACTGACTTACGCCTGTAATCCCAGCACTTTGGGAGGCCAAGGCAGGTGGATCTCTTAAGCCCAGGAGACTGAGACCAGCCCAAGCAACATGGCAAAACCCCATCTCTACAAAAAATACAAAAAGGTGGGCTAAGGTGGGTGGATTGCCTGAATTCTGGAATTCAAGACTAGCCTGGCCAAGATGGAGAAACCCCGTCTCTATTAAAAATACAAAAAATTTAGCCAGGCAGAGCAGCACACACCTGTAATCTGATCTACTCAGGAGGCTAAGGCAGGAAAATCACTTGAACCCAGAACTCGAAGGTTGCAGTGAGCTGAGATCACACCACTGCACTCAAGCCTGTGTGACACAGTGAGACTCTGTCTCAAAAAAAAAAAAAAAAAAAAAAATTAGCCAGGCATTGTGGTGCACGCCTATAGTCTCAGCTTCTCAGGAAGGTGAGGTGAAATGCCACCTTTACTAAAAACACAAAAATTAGCCGAACATGATGGCACATGCCTGTAATGCCAGCTACGCGGGAGGCTGAGGCAGGAGAATCACTTGAACCCAGGAGGCGGAGGTTGCAGTGAGCCAAGATTGATATCACTGTACTGCAGCCTGGGCAGCAGAGAAAGACTCCATCTCAAAAAAAAAAAAGAAAAAGAAAAAGAAAAAAGTTAAAAAATATTGATTGTGGGTCTCCTGTGTGCCAGATGCTGTATTAGGTGCTGTATACACAGGAGTGACCAAAACAAAGAAGGAAGTAAATTATAGACCAAACAAATTAGTCTACCATTTTCCAAAAGCAGAAACTGGGGTTAGAGGCATGAAGTAACTTATTCCAGATCCGACCGCTGGAATGTGGCAGAGATAAGGCTCAGCTCTGTTCCTAACCACCAAGCCTCTCCGTGCAAGTGTTTCAGCCACAGGCTCAAACCACCCCTTTACCTTCTTTCTAAGCCCTTCCTCCCCATTAGGGGCTCTTGCAATATAACAAACACCCTTAGACCAAGAAACTCTGGGCCTTGCATAAAACCCATGCAACTGGCAACAAAGTGATTCATGATTAAGATGCAAGATTTGAGGCCGGGCGCGGTGGCTCATGCTTGTAATCCCAGCACTTAGGGAGGCCGAGGCGGGTGGATCACGACGTCAAGAGATCAAGACCATCCTGGTCAACATGGTGAAACCCCATCTCTACTAAAAATACAAAAACATTAGCTGGGCATGGTGGTGAATGCCTGTAATCCCAGCTACTCAGGAGGCTGAGGCAGGAGAATTGCCTGAACCCAGGAGGCGGAGGTTGCGGTGAGCCGAGATCGTGCCATTGCACTCCAGCCTGGGTAACAAGAAACTCCGTCTCCAAAAAAAAAAAAAAAAAAAAAAGATTTGGATTTTAGATTTCAAGCCTCAGTTAACTGGTAGGTAGCAGAAAGAATGCCAGAGATCCTCCTTGT